AGAGTACTGAGGTCCTCTGCGCTTACCCTACAGTCATTCAAACCCAGGAGTTAAAGAATCTCACCCTTATTTACCTACACACATTCAATCCAAGGCAAGAAAAACAAAACAATGAAGGGTACATCCACTAAGTGAAAGTTTGTAGGAGATGGAATATAAGAAATTATTTTTTTAAAAGAAACAGCGGTACAATCGAATATAGTGCAATTGATTTCTGGTATCGAACTCTATAGAAATGACTGAATAAAGCCTACATTGACATTAATATGATTCATGGAAGCTTTATTGATTCCAATTACACTTTGCATTGATAATGAAGCTCTACAAAGTAACTACAGGGTTAAACACTTATTAGAAAAAACATTCTGCTCTGTCACACTTATTACTCCTTTTTTTAAATGAATTTCATACATTTTTGCCGAAGCATAACTAAATATACCCTCAAGGACGTGTTGCTTTCAGGCCTATTTTCACAAACGGCGTCTGACCCTGGTCCACTTCTTACTTAATTGCTGCAGCACAACTATAAAAAAAGGACATTGTGAAATGGCAGCAGGAAACCAAACATTTATGTGATTGGATTTCCTCCACGGGGGGGTTTAAAAGAGCCAACTGGCAGTCCTGTCACTCTTGTTTTTTTTTGGTATGTTGGTCATAAATTACTTCCTGCTGTAACAAGATACAACACTGGGGTCAAACGGAGTGAGCCCCGCTGGGATGAGCATGATTAGATGACACCCAGATGGCACACAAAGGGGGGAAAAGACTCTTTCGGGGACTCTTCCATCATTTGAAGGGCTTTAAGGAGGAATGCTGATCAGCCTCTCTGCGGGCCGTTGTCCACTTATGTGGGGCTAATGTTGTGATCACGCTGCTTTTAGCCACTCTATGTTCACTTCTGCTGTTTGTGTCTTCCATTCATTTCCAGTTGTGTCCCTTTAAAAACGCAGCTCCTCAGACCGTATGACCTCCACATCAGAACATCTGTACTGATTGTTTTGATGTCTCATCCCCGTCTGCCCTTAACAGAATGGGCTTTATCTGAGCACCTGTCTCCTCTGTCTGCCCACCCATCCCATTTCCATCTGCACGAAAAGCCACTTCCTGACCCTATCTGGCCGTGTGGCGCGCTTTGAGGAACGGCCCGCCAGCACTCCCCATTTTCCTTCTCCTGAGTTAATTATTGATGGCCCAAAGTGTCGTCTGGAGGATGTGCCAAAGTTCCTTCTTGCCGTGCGTGTGCGTGTCCAGGCTTGATTGACTGCAGGGCGTGTCGCAGTTGTAGGTGAGCGGAGAAGTGTCTTTTCTCTTGAAATCCTGTCAAAACAACTGGGAGTGAAGTGGTGAAGGACGGAAAGGGCTACAAAAACGACACACCAGGTTTAGTAACTGCTCTGACCTTGTTGTTGTTTTAATCAGAAGTTTCCTCGTGAATGTTCTTGCTTTGTCAGTTGATAGAAATGTATTGGTACCAATGCCGTTGCTGAAGCTGCTTCTTGATCATTATGACCGATTTGGTTCGTGGTTTTTCATCAAATATTCAGTGAGGAATCCGATACACTCTAACGTCATCAACATCAACTGCTGACTGTCGTAATACGCCTGTTAGGATAATAAAACTGTTGCGAGTAGAGCAGACTCGGCCATTTTAAATAATTTCAGCCCTAAATCTCAGGAAACTATGCTCATGTTAAATGTTAGACTACAGCAGACCTTCTGCAAATGTGGCCATTCTAATGTCTTTTCACAACTTATTTAGCGACAGCACAGTGAAACCTTTTGTCATCACTTGTCGCACTTCCTGTGAGGCGACTTGACTGAGCTGTCAGTAGAGCTAATGTTAGCCGTGGCACCAAGACAACAACCTAGAAGGGAGGATATGGGATGTATTGTGTTTGGCAGGGATCTCTTCGTTGCGCATTGTCATTTGCTCACTGTGGTTCACAGGTTAGTTTTATGATTTAAAATAGAGCAATCCGACATGTTGAACTTTTGGTAGTCATTTTCTTGTAACTTAGAAAGATTAACTGGTTCTGTTACTACCTTTTGGGAACTAAATGTATCAACGCTTTGTAGCAATTCCTCCACCTTGCCTAATTTCAAAACTGTATATACAGACACACTTGTGGTGTGTTGGTATGGACTCGGCTCACATCAACAGGTGCTGGCGATGCACACTGAAAACAATCTTTGAACCTTGGAGAGAGGTTCAAGGATGGCCCTTGTAAAGATTTTTTGTCGCCAAACATAGCCGGCAAGTTGTTCATTCCCAAAGGCCTAATTTCTTGTTGGCTTTTCATCTAAAGTGATCCCCCTTTTCTCTCTCCTGGCAATTAGGCAATGACTGCCAAAAAGTGGACCATCGAGTAGCTACGAGAGTCTATCTGCTCTAACAGTGATAGTGTGTGAATATTGAAAATAAGTTTATGCTGTCAGTCTGCTGATTTGACGGATCGTTTTGATCGTTTAGTGTCCCCTTGTCTTTTCTTTAATGGGATGTCAGCAATTTCTGACATTCAGAAAGATAAACCTGTTAATACTAAAGAAAAACACTACAAACAACAACAAACACAACAAAAAATGAGTGTTAGAAGTTAGAGCCATTTAGATTCTCTGTTCAAATTCAAATTTTATTTAGTTTTAAGTTTTTACATATATGGCTCATGGATATAAAAAAAAAAAACTCTGTCCTTGAGGTGTTAAGTGATACCACAGACCTGTCACACTGCGAGTGACTCACAGTCTTATCTCTCTGTTTCATAAGTGACGTGGGATTACATCAAACCTTTAAGAGTTCCTGCCCTAGAGGCGAGTTGGCCGTCCCCTCTATCTGTTTACACAGCCCTGTGAATTATTGATGAAGATGGCACTATATATAGGACTCGAATGTGATGAGGGCAGCAGCAGCAAGTTTGTCCTGAGGGAAAGAGCGAGCTGCATTTGAATAATGTGGCCAACATCTCACTGTACAGGAAGTTTGTGTGCTCCTAGGTAGGCCCCGCTGAGGGAGACAGGGTGTGTGTTTGGGTATGAGGATGTTGTAGACACTGTGAATTATTAATTAATCTCTGTTTAGTTAGCTGGGATTTCAAACAAAACCAACGGCTACTATTCAGGACAGCAAAGTGGAAGATACACGTGCGTGTTGTTGTATTTTAATTTTGTTGGCACTGAAACTTAAAACCTGACTAAAACATCAATAAAAACCAAACCGTTGAATATTTCACCTACTCAGAAACGTGCTGCAAACATGCTTTAGAAACTGAACTCATCAATCATCTTGACTATTGGCATGCAGTTTCCTTCTGTCTGGATGTATTCCAACTGTAAACCGTGGCTTGTTCTCGGTATGAACGGGGATGTAGGAAAGGAAGGCAGTACAGCCAGAAACAGTTTGAATCAGCAGTTTTCAGAGTGGGTGGCAGGTGTCAGCGCGGGGACAGTTAGACAAGCTATCGAGCAACGCAGCATCCTTTTGATATGGCTTTTTAAACTCTTTGAGGCAACTCTGAACGTAAGATTATACTTTTAGGTGGTGCTTGATGTGGAGAAGGAGCTTGGGCTGTGGTAACCAGCAAGCATTGGTGCTTGGATGGTTTTGGAGGTAGTGAATAACAAATCTGCTTTAAGTAACGGCAGCGAAATGTCCTCACAAAGTGCACAGAAGTGTCTGTTCTGAAGAAGTTTTTTTTATTCTGCTCGATTTGCACCTCAATTAATTTTTTTTAGATTAGATTCCTGCGTGGAGCTTAGTTTTACAGCTGAACGTTGCTCTGAATTTAATCACAAGTTAATTATTTCTCATTTTATGGCCACCATGTCAACAGCACAGGCGTAGTTTCTGGCCAGCATGAACATTCCAGACGGCTTATATGGTGCATGTCTTACTCAGGGTCACCTCCACCCAACACTTTAATAATCTCACATTCATGAAGGGGATCTGTGTCTTTTTATGATACAGAGAGAGAGCGGAACAAAATAGTCAAAATCTTTTTTTAAAAACTTTTTTGTTCAATAGATTGATATGCTCTCATGAGGTTGTTTTTGCCAGTTTTGGAATGAGTTGCCACACATCAGGGCAGATTAAACGTCTTATTCTGATGTGAATCCTTTATGACAATGCCATGGTTACCTGATCATGTGAACCGTAATCTGTTTCTGTTTTTTGTTCTGTTTTCCTCTTATATATGGCCAAGGCTGCTGGTGTTGACCCAGTGGACTGTGAACCTCTCTGTTTAGCTCCCCCAATGTCTTTTATGCTTAGCAATCACTACTCTGTTATAGCCATGCACAATATAAAGGCTGCAGCCACCTGCTGGATTTTTTTCTCAGCAAACCCGGTAATGACAAGAATCTTGTTAGGAATCTTTTGAGAGACAGCATTTTAAAATGTTGAAAAAAAAGATGTGGGCTAATTTAACAAAATTGTTCTTTGGGAGTTGACCGTAAATCTAGTTCTTTTGGGGAAGTGATTGTTTGCCGACAGCTTTGACAATTCCCGCTGGTTGCTATAATCAGAAACTTACTGGATATGGTGAACGAACACCTGAGTATGATTATAACAACTGTCACCCATTTAGAGGGTTTATTAGCAAACAGACCAAAAAATGATTGAAGTCTTCCACAGAGAATAAATGTAAATCTGTAAATCTGAGCACTCAATGGACAGATACTTTCCTTTTGGGGGGATATTTCATTTGTACAAATGCACATAAAACTGTCAAGAGGAGAGCTTGACTTTATGTCACCTTTTTATATAATTTGATAAAATAATATCTCAATAATTTGTCAGTTGCGCAGTAGTTGTAGTTATAAAAGTGCACTGTGTTGCTGAGAGGAGACATTTAGAGTATCTGTGCGTAATAGATAATCCCTCTTAGAAATAATTTGACTTGAAAGCTAAATTCTCCATCCACCTCCTGGTCCTTAAATGTCTCACATCTCTAAAGCATCTCGTGCGCCGCTCCTGATGAGGAGCACATCGACCCCACCCCCCTTTTTCTCTGCCTGTCTGAGCCACAGCATCCGAGGATTATCCCTCAGTCAGTGAGAAACACACACAAACTTTGCATAACGCTCCAGTAAGGAAAAATCCCAAAATCTCAGGTTAGGGGCGACTGGTTCCTCTCTCTCTCTCTCTGATCTGCACGCTAATGCACCGTCAGCACCACAGGCAGCACCAGGCAAACATCAACACACAGAAGGGGAGGCGATGAAGCTGCCCGCTGGAGGAGCCCACGTGTCTCTCTTCCCCTAGCTGTAGCCTTAGCTGCTGTTCACCGAGACTGGAGGTAGGCTTTTGTTGCTATTGTGGGGGGCTGTCTTCCCTAAGCAGCTTTTTGTCCGGAGGTTTTACTCTTTCGGATGTGTTGATGCTACTTGCTTGTCTTCAGCATCCCGAGAACTTGCTTTTGATGGATGAGAATTCGAGATGCGGGTGCTTGTTTATGTGGATGTTGGATGTTGGATGGAGAATGCTCTATGTGGTTTTGGGACAGGATAGAAAAAAAAGGGTAAGAGTCAAAGCAGTATGGAAGTGTAATTAAATGCTGTTGGGTGCTGCTACGGACTGAGTTTGTTGATGTTTCTCTGCATTATAATTTCCTTGTTTGTCTACAGTGAAAACCTCAGCAGCAAAGTACTTTCATTTAAGAAAAAATGAGATTCTATTCACAGTTTCATTTTGATGTTTACAGGTTTTGATTTAATAAAAGTGGAAGAAAGTAGGGGTTGTTTTCAAATGCTGCGATCTTCCTTCGAAATAAGCCCAGCAAAGGCTGTCCTGAACAAAAGCCCCTCTCTCAGCATGTAGCTAATGGCTTAACCAAGCATGATAAAGACCCACTTCTGCAGCTTACCCTCACGCTGCCGTGCAGCTCAAGCTTTTCTTTAGCTTTGATGTGTTGGGCTAGACTGCTACGGAAACTTCTCAATTAACCAGGTTTTGGAGCTCTTTTGAGTTCCTCTGAGAGCCCTTTTTACTCCCACATTTTCTTCTCCGCCTTTCATTGTGAGAAGTGTTGCTCCAGTCTCTGGTCCAAGGGTGACCCAAATACCCGAGCAGCTCCCGCCCCTCCCCCTGACCTCCCATCAAAACACATCAGTGCTGCTCCTCTTTCTATTGTTCCACATCTGTCTCAACCTGTTTCTCATTAATACCTCTGTTTTTTTATTCTGTTTTTTTATTATTATCATCATCATCATTGCGTGGCATTAATCAAGCAGCCTATTAATGAGCTGATGCCCTCAATTTTCTGAAATTAAAGAAACCTGTGAGCCAAGTGCATATTGAATATTTTAACACTCTTTTGAGCATTCTGGCTCTCTTTATTTAGAATTTGATAAATGTGTCAGGGGGAAAAGGGCAATTTAATGTACTTCCACACTACTATTATGGATTAAAGTCTTTATTTGTAACATATAGAGGTCTGCAATAATCATAATACATGTTTCAGTTGTGTAGAACTGCTTAATAAAGTGAATTATGTTCTTGATGATGCTGTAGAACAATACATTTACAGAATATCTGTAAACAGCATCTTACCAATCGGTATATCGGTATATAGTAAAGTATTTAGATAACCAAATGACTGCCCTGTTTAGCATACTGGGTCACAGATTAGATCACACAGACAGCACCATCTCTCTGCCTGCTTTGAACTTTTAGCACTGCTGGAAATGTGGAACACTGGAAACAGAAATAACTTCTGACTTCCAACTCTGTATAATACAGCAGAGCTTGGTAGTGGAAACTGGTCAGTCGAATTTTCAACACCAGTTCAGGAGACAAACGGGCCTTTATTGATCCATAGAAAGCTACATATAAGGTGTACAGCAAATAAATGTGGGACATAGAAAGTTGTCTGCTGTGCCAACTGCCTCTGTATTAGACACTATGTCTATTTTGTTGTTTTTGAACACTCATTCTTTTTTTTACTCTTGCCAAAGTGTGCGCTCAGTCATGTGTGACTCACACGTTGACTGACAGCACTGGTCCTCTTCCACAACATGTTCTGGGCCATGTTTCTACGATAAATGGACACAGAAAATGCAGTCCAGACACAGGCTCCAGACAGGATTTTTCACTTTCCATGAAACTAGAGGGTTTTAGAGCTGTACCTTAGTAGATACCATAGGGATATCTTAGTCTTACTGGATCCTAAACCCTGCTCCAAAGACCAAAGAGAAAGCTAACCAACATTCAGATTAAATTATAATTTTTTAAATCCTTTAACGAACAGCTGAAATATGTCACACAAACAAAAATCTTTGGCAAAAGTTTCAGGTATCCAAAGAGGAGGATTGTTCTCTATCCATAATGCGAGGCAAGCAGTTTCCCCATTTTTCAGCTCTTTTTGCAAAGCCGACCTTTTAATTTTACAGTCTCGCAGCAGTCCTGACAACAGCATGAATCAATTTGTCCAACTCTGAGCAAGAAAGCAATTAAATATGTTTCTACCATTGGCAAGGTACTTGCTTACCATAAAACTCCTCTTATAAGTTGCAGGATAGGTTTTCTGCACGTTAGGGTATTTGACAAAGGCCTGCTACAGGGACAGTACCTCAGAAAAAACTCTTCATCTTTCCTGCCATCTTAAATTGTTATTTGATATTTCAGCAGTGGGCCTGTGAAATCTGTTGTCTCTGCAGATGGCATTTCACTGTACAGATAACAGCTTAGTCACAAAACCCCCGTCGCTGTTTTGTTATGTTATGTTTACCTTCCAGTTCATTTGCAACTTTACTTTGCATTTAATCTTGATTTCCGTTCTGTTTGGCACATTGTCTCTGTGTGTTTATTTCTTTTGTGGTTTGTACCTCTTGTGTCTTCAACGCCTATCTTACATCCTTTTCTTTTTTGTGTGCGAGAGAGTGTGATACTTGTGAATGACTTGTGTAAAACCTGTGATTTGTACCTTTAAGTTTCTAAAACAAAAATGTGAATGTTTAGTTACACAGCGCGTTGCATAGCCTTTGCTGTGCAGCCTGTCTCTTCACTATTTATCTTCAAATAACACTGAAAAAAGTTTGAGTTATTCTTCTAAAAGCTGTGAACTTTTTTAATGAAAAAAGAAGTGGAAATGTGTCTCTTTGCTTCTTTCATTTCCATGTGCAATAAGAGTAATGTATTTTTTTCAAATTGATAAGGTAGCACTCCATCATAAAGGCTTAAAAATGGTAAGAAATTATGTAACCTATACTTTATACAACTATACAGATGGTTCAGGCTCTAGTTACCCTTAAATTAGTCATCAAGGTTAGGTGGGCAAGGTTATTTATACAGCATCAATGTGCTGCTATTTGACTTCAAACTTGTCCAGAGTTGGGATACATTGGAAATTAAAAAGAACTTTATCCCATCTACATGCATCTTAGCTAAATGCAATTTCACCATGTTTGGTCCTAACTGGAAGTTCTATTGGCTGACTGCTACCTAAAGATCTCAGAGATCTCCGAGCTGTGCTTTATTTGTATTCCACAAGATCAGTCCTGATCAATCATCACCCTCTGGTCTGCATTGGGGCCTCTGAAATTCAAAGTTTAAGAGGTTATCTCGCAAACAGTGAAAGCAAAATCATGAGCATTTTATGAGCAGTTCTATCTCCAAAATGATGGCAAACTCTAAAATCCAACTGAGACTACCTATGAAAGCTATTTTCTTTACAGCTGGGCTGAATGTCGATCTCTTTTCTATGTATCGGGTTTAATTGTGTTCTCATTGTAAACCATCATGCTGGTATGCAACATGAAAATCTGACAGATCTTTTATCACAATCGCTAATGCGATTAAATTATTTCAAAAAAAGAAATAAAGCATGTCTACACACATACAGATAGCATGACAATTCATCAGTGTCTGTGAGTATAAAACACGCATGGCATTGGAAGTAACTAATTAGCCCTCGGTGAAAACCAGCCTGAATGTCTGTACGTTGTGGGGCAGTTTAACGGTGCAGCTCATTTTGAAATCGCTGTGTTGGCTTTGAGCTGACACCTGAGTGGACGGAGGTGGGCGGGAAGCCGTGGCCGCGCCAGTGTGATATTGGTGTAATTAGTCTTACTACCTTTAGAGGTTGCGGTCAATTAGATAGATAGAGAGCACTGCCCTCTTTTAGATGGACACACACATCTGAAGTCCATCCAGCTCCACTCTGTAATTTCATGCTCTGATTTCTGAATTTCAGCTCTCCTCAGCCGTCATTAGCAGTCATGTCACAGCGATCAGCTCCTGAAGAAGGTGTTCAGTGGGTAATGTTAGCCGAGCCGAATGGGTGGAAAGGACTCTGCAATTAGGATTCTCTGTTCTGTAAAAGCTGGCTAAGTCCACGCTTTTTGAAAATGAATTGGCAGGCATTGCAGCTATTGACGGAGCCCTCTCAGGGGAGCAGTGAGGCAGATAGCCTGAAGCAGTCTGGTTATGAGGAGATTGTGGGCGGCAAAGTCTTTGAGCTTACCTGATATGAGTTTGTGGGAAGTATTTGCTCCAGCATAAGCCACTAATTGTGTTTTCATTGGTTTTTAAACTTTGATTTAAACTTCAGTGTGAAGTAAAAGCTTATCTTCAGAGTGTCTATCTAAAGCTGTGCATGTTGATGCAGTTCTTCTAAGCAATGTAGCTTGATAAAGAATTAAACAAGTGTCAGTTTTGTTTAATTTTGTGCTTGTTGATTTAGTTATCTTTAATTTGATTAAACCTTAGGAGGTAAAATTGCAAACTGGATAATTACCAGCTTTTATTCTTATTTTTCATATTGTATGTTAGATGCTCTGACTCATAAAGAAAATTGATCAAGCTATCTTGGATTTGCAGCTAAATATGAATAATTTTTTGAATGAATTCATCTCATTACGTCCAGACAGCCAGACGGTAAATATTTATATTAATTTAGTTTGATTTACTGTGTCTGAGCAGTATGCCTCGTTTTAATACTCTGTGTCGACTACGTTTTTTCAGTTTAGTCTGAACCAATATTACGGCTAAGTTTGTGATATTGCTGCAGTATCAGACTTTAGTTTATTTTTTACTTTACAGCCTCGTTATAGCATCATATTTATGTGGGAACAGCCATTTCACTGATATTTTCTGCTTGTTATAAGATATAGGACCAGACAGAATTTTGATAAATTCCTGCTCTTCCGAGTGTTGACAGTCTCTGTGTTTGTTTTTCTTTTGTCCTCACAGTGCATGAGGAGTGCCCCTTTTGCTGCACACCCCCACAGCCTGAAGCCACCCTGCCAAATCTGGGACCATGTCTGGAGCATACGACGAGTCGGCCAGCCTGGAGGAGACCACAGACAGCTTCTGGGAGGTGAGACGGCAGACGTTAAACTCGTCTGCGTGCTCGTGCTGCCTTGGGATAAACCCTCTGTGAAACAATTTTGCCGGGAGACGAGGAGAAGAAATATGCGTGGCCTCATTTATCAGCTGTGTGTGGGCACAGATCCACAGATAAATCAGACATGTACTCGACAGCGTGCATAGCGCAAGATTTATCTTTGGGGCTTGGCTTACTGATCTCTGGATGCTCCATACTCACACATTAGATTAGAAGGCACACACAATTTTTCAACATACTGACAGAGTGCAAAAGCTTGTTGCCATTTTTTAGGAATGAGTTGAGTAAGCAAGTTATTCCTCCTGTTTTTTTGTGTCTGTCTGTGTAAAAAATCCTTGAAACATTTGAAAACCACAGCAGTGGTACTGAACTCATTTTGTGGAACAGTTGTTTTCAGTGATCTTTTCACATCTTGCTTTTTAAGATGCTGCGTCAGCGACAAATCTTTAAAATTAAATGCAAAAAACTGCATCCTGTCATTCATGCAACTTAAAATGTTTTGCTAACAAGTTATTTCCCAAAGCTAACACACCATGGCACTAGCATTCCTGTCCCATAGGAGGCTTATCCTATAGTAGAAAAAGCATTTAAAAACCGTCAGCGCCTCCAAATGTCATTCTGATGGGATCTGATGTCATATGTAGAAGAAAGGACAGGACATCCACAGTTGCCTTTTACCCATGTTCTGAACCACCTTCTGTTGGCAGAATAGGAGGACCTACTCAATAATAGACTAGAGGTCTGATCTAATTGGCTGATCGATGAGGGTTGTGTACCTCTATGACAGTGGTAAGATACTGCACCGGAGGGCCAAGCTTTCAGGCTGAAGTTTGCACTGGGATCCCCATAAGGAAGAATTTAGGTGTGATGGATTGGTTTTACTGCACACCGGGGAATGATGCCAGATTAAAAATGAACACCTGTCATATAGTGACAGTGACCAAAATATAGTGTTTTATAAGCTCAAATGCTGTCAAAATGATAATTACCGAGAATGTCAACTATTTTTGTCATATATCTAAATACTAAAATACAAACTGTTCGTAATTTAATCCTTCATCAGCAAGATTACATCACTATCCACCTTGTGTCACATGCAACATGAGTAGCGAGCTTGCAGAAGTACATTCATTATATATGAGAGCCGGTTAGTGATCACAGGGGGAAAACCTGGAAAAGATTAACTCACTCACTCATATATGTTATGAGGACTCAGTGCAGACTTACAGACAGAATTAGGATAAAAGCTTTCATTGACAAAATTACAACAGTAACGAATAGCAGAAACAAAGAAAAGTATAAGGACAAAGATGAAAAAACTTGTTTTGTGGGAGGTTTTAATTCCACCTTTGCATCCTTGGGGGTCTCTAGTAGTAAAACAAAACCAGAACCTCATACTGGGATGCGACCCTCATTAATACACAAATGAATGTCCAATTTCAAAGCTTTTGTCTCTTTAAAAAAAAAAAACATTATGCACTTTGATTGTGCGGTGACAATTTACTTAAATACCTTTTTCATGCTAATAGAGGGCATATAATTCTGATCTTTTACATATCCATAAGAAATCGATTAAGCAAAGAAACAAACAGTGAAACAAAAGTGATCAGTGGACCATGAGCACAGAAATGGAGAATACAGACTGTCATGTTGCTTTACATTACACCGTAAATAAAGGGTCAATATAACTACATATTTTAGTTCAGGTTTTTAAGCCATGTATCATGTTCTGTCCTCACGCATTTGGCAGTGTGCTCAGAAATGAGCAGGAGGAGCCGAGGCGTTTGCTTCCAGCACGCGGTCTCCTCATCAGTCAGTCACTGCATTACAGCATCTCTGCTGCATTGCTGCCAGCTGACCGCTGACTCGGCTTACCGCTGCGGGAGCGGGGGGCCCGGTGCGGAATACCAATCCACCTCAAACCGTTTTCGTTTAGTGGAAATTTGAGGGGTCGTTGCATGTCATTTTAGGGTGAATTATGGGTCACAGTCGCAAAGACGTGTGTCTAATCACCATCCGTCGAAAAGGTGCTGTATGACTGCGGTAACTGCAGTGGGGGGGGGGGTTTCAGCCTCGTCCCGTACTCTTTATGACTGTCTCTGGGCAAAACTATGAGCTCTGTTGGAGGTTTCCGATCCTGCATCCACAGAGAGTTGTAAATTATATGACATTAAGCCACCCCCTGCTCCATTGCATAACTCTTCACACAGCAGTCTCCTCCCTGCTGTTGCCTTTCACTGCCTCACCTGCAGGCTGCAAAGATGGAGAAGTGGCATCTCCCGTAGTGACTGAGAGGCGCTTTTAGCCTCTCACAAAGGAATATCTCACTTATGCTTCAGGTGGATAGAAAATGTAGACATTTCGAGAAACCCCTTGCTATCATATATTACAGGTCACTTTTATATCCAGATTCTCCACTGTCCACTAGATGTCACTAAATCATACGCATAGCAACTTTAAAAACCATCGAAATTAGAGTACACACTCTCTATTTGTGTTATTCTTAACTTGTGTCTGTTCATTTTCAAAAAGAACCAACTTCAAGGTGTCTATCTGAAAGAGTAAATTGAATTATGTATGGTCAACAGGAATTTATGCGGCTGGCTGATACATTTAGGTGAATGTAACGTGGTGGTCTCTGTTTTCTCTGGCCCTTCTTTTTCTATTTTGAGGTTGGGAACTACAAACGAACAGTGAAGCGGATTGATGACGGTCACCGGCTCTGTAATGACATGATGAACTGCATCCAGGAGCGTGCCAAAATTGAGAGAGCCTATTCTCAGCAGCTGACCGAATGGTCCAAGAGATGGAGGCAGCTGGTAGACAGAGGTAACTAGTCTTTTTTGTTTTGGGTTTTTTTTTTTGCACTAAAGGACTGATAGTATAAGGAAAATAAGCTCTAAAAAAGTTTGGTTATTGAGAGGAATGAAAAAGTTCAAAGAGCTTATATCTCTATGTCTGCTTTCTGTCTTGAGGCGGAGTTTTAGTGCCTCATTCTGAATTAATTCTGCCATCAGGTCCGCAGTACGGCACGGTGGAGCGCGCTTGGATGGCAGTGATGACAGAAGCAGAAAAGGTCAGCGACCTCCACCAGGACGTGAAGAACAACCTGGTCAACGTCGACTTTGAGAAGGTGAAAAGCTGGCAGAAAGAATCGTACCACAAGCAGATGATGGGAGGATTCAAGGAGACCAAAGAGGCTGAGGAAGGTTTTAAGAAGGCTCAGAAACCCTGGGCCAAGAAGCTGAAAGAGGTGAGCAACCGCTTTCTGTTAAGCTTTACAGATGCTTATTTTGAAATTTCAACTTTTGATCTCAAATAAATCAGTTTGACAAATAACCAGGACACGATTTCTGATACACCATGCCGCTGTTTTGTGTTCAGTATCAGTAATTTGTCACCGTTACTGTTGCAAATCAAAGTAAATACCAGATGTATTTTGTTGGAAAGTAATTTCCAAATTGACAGGAAACTACTTGGATCCACAGGCAGCTTTCAATTTGGGTGTTAAGATACCACCTCCACAATATCAGCCACAATTTCAAAGCTCCCTAAAATGTCTGATACCACCCATTTTTTCACTGAATTATTTGTTTTTACTGACCCCTTTGAAGTACACATGCCCAAATGTCACTCACAATATTAGTCCAGTTAGAAGCAGTCATTTGAACTTGAAGTCGATCTATGGATTATAAAAGACTAACTATTTGTACGGTACAAAAAGCCATAAATCCAGCTTTTTTTTTTAAGGTTTCCAGATCAAATGCTTTGTGTTGCTTTTCCTGTTCAGCTGGAGGCTGCCAAGAAGCTGTACCATGTGGCCTGCAAAGAGGAGAAGATGGCCACCACCAGAGAGGCCAACAGTAAGGCAGACCCCGCTGTGACACCTGACCAGCTGAAGAAACTCCAGGAGAAAGTGGACAAGTGCAAACAGGACTCGCAGAAGGTGAGATCCTCAGCCACAGCAACTCTTTTTTTTTTGTTTTTCTCACCTTTCTCCTTCACTGAACTGACACACTGACCTCCTCTAATATGACTTCACAGTTTTACCATGTATTTGAGGTTAATACAATTTAAATTTGATCAACAAAATGAAAAAGCAAATGAAACAAATGTTGAAAATATCTTTTCCAAAGCTGCTGTAATTGGCCCTACTTTTTGTTTTTTTTTAACTATTAGAGATGTGACTAAACTAAAGTAAACTGTTTTTTGTCTTTTTGATAATAGTTCTAAAGGTTGGAAAATCATTAAAAAAAACAGCAGTGTGTAGACGTACACATGGTTTTGGTTTTCTTGAGCCTTGAAAAATACAAAATATTAGCTACTGAGCGTTTTTTTTTTATGTGTTAACACATAGGCAAGAGAGAAGTATGAGAAGGCTCTGGATGAGCTGAACAAATGCACCCCACACTATATGGAAAACATGGAGCAGGTGTTTGAGCAATGCCAGCAGTTTGAAGAGAAGAGGCTGAGCTTCCTCAGGGAGGTGCTGTTGGGTGTCAAACGCCACATCAACCTCACAGAGAACCAAAGGTTTGACATGTTTAAAGCTGTTAAAGTGAGGTGGCAGTGATCCACCGGTCTTTACATATCCATTGAAATGTATTCTATCTGTCCACAGATATGCTACAGTGTATAGAGAACTTGAAAACACCATCACATCAGCCAGCCCAGAAGAAGATCTGAAGTTGTTTAGAAACATCCAAGGCCCTGGCATGCACATGAACTGGCCACATTTTGAGGTAATGAATTGACAAACCTCTTGTGAGGAAGTACATTTTCAAAGAACGGGGTATAATCTGATACGATTACTATCTCAGTGTAATGTTCGAGTAACATTTTAGGAAATTATTATTCCAAATTTAAACATGTTTTGTCTGTTTTTTTTAAAGGAGTACAACCCTGACCTCTCTCACAGCATCTCTAAGAGAGATAAGTCAAAGAGAGGAAATGATGGGGTCATGCTCACTAACATCACCTCTGCAGTGGACCACGTTCAAGCTGGGGACAGTGGAAGGTATCTGTCATGCTCCCAAAAATTATTATTGTTGCTTTTAAGTTGTCCTATCTGTATTTAAACATCTGTGTGACCGAATGTGACAAAAACACATGTGCTTTAGCACAGTTGACTGATGTGCTCCGTTGTGCGTCCAGTGTGAGCAGCTACGAGAAGACCCAGGCTGGCACCGGCTCCACAGATTGGTCCGACGAGGACCAGTCCGCCCCGAACTCGGGCAACGACACCAACGGAGGGCCGAACCCCTTTGAGGAGGACGTGGGCAGAGGCGTGAGAGTCAAAGCGCTGTACGACTACGAAGGCCAAGAGCAGGACGAGCTGAGCTTCAGAGCAGGTGACAAGTAGCAGGGGGCTGTTTGTGAGCTCCTTAAAGATGATGGGAGAAAGATTTAATTGTCTAACCCTGAATATTGAGCATCACATCTGGTAAATGTCACAGGTATGTCCTCACAAGATGAGAAAAAAGGCCTAATTCCTTTTAAAAAAAATCATATTCAACACTTTGATTATATTTTGTGCTCCACACTATGAAACCTACTCCATGATTGCATCTCTTAGTGTTTTTGCAAATGTGCTTCCATCAGTCTACTTTATCAGAAAAAAATGCTGCATGACAATCATTCATTATATGATTTCTAATAATAAATTCTTATCCATGTTGCCTGAGGATCAGTGCTACGATTCTGAGCCTCTGCTGCTGCTTTGCATTGTGTAAAAACACTGAAGATCAGTCAGATAAAGAACTAAAGTTGTTATTTTTATAGTTCTATTTCTACATCAATATATATATTTTCCTATATAAATATATATTTTTTGCTATATATATATATTTAATTTGATCTCATGTGATTTCGAGCCTTGTGTCTGCTCACCTCTAAATATTTGACAATTCTAATTAAGACTGTGTGAGAACTCAGCTGGTTAGCAGAGAAGCTAAAGCTTTTTCTGAAAAATAACAGTAACTGAATATTTCAATACCAATTGAAGTAGCTTGCTAAGACTAATTGTTAAATGGCTTGAAATTAACATGTATGTAAATGAAGGAATGCTGAAGATAATAAAAGTTTGGAAAATAAATTCATATCCTAATTTATATTTGGGTTTTGTCATTTAACTTAACCATATCTTTATATGTAATATAAGCAACATATTTAAGATCATCGCTGATGTTATGTTGAATGTTATTATGTAAACAGTCACAATGCAGAATGGGATGATTCCTGTTTTTGTTCCATCATTTTTATATAAGTTATACTAAAAATAAGGATATCTGGTTTTAAAAAGCAGCTTTCCCAAAAACATGATTATCACACTATTCAAGAGTGGACTGAGTAATCCTGAAGCAGCATTTCATGTGAAACTCCCCATGGACTTAACCCTGCCGCTAGCTGTATAACATTAGGGTTGCTGATTGTTAAAAGCAGAATTTCAGCCAGTATTGCTTTTATCTTACGTAGTCTGGACCATCTGAAACTGATGAGATCCAGAGTAAATGTCCTCATGAATTCCTCATCATAACGTCATCCAGCATTCTCACGATGGCAAGAAAGACTGATTACAGTCACGGCTCACACCTCCTTCAGCCAGTCACTCATGTCTGGGACTGAACATCTGATTTCTGATGGGATTGTTCACCAAGGAAACAGCAACAACAGCAAAGAGTTTCAGTACATGCAGGGAGGACAGATGATGTCAAATTTAGATGTTTGACTGACAAAAGATTCGAAAATTGGACAGACTTTGAGCTGCATACGCTCACATCCTGGTATTTTCTGTTACCTGCAGCTCCACAGTTCCCTGAAATTCCTTCAAAACAGGTGCACAAAGTGAATTTAAAATGGCAGGAATACTTAAACAGATGCACGATCAGTCACGTCATCTCCTCCTGCTGGATGTTTGTCTCTGTTTATCATTAAAGGTGACGAGCTGACGATGCTGGAAGAGGAGGATGAACAGGGCTGGTGCAAAGGCCGCCTAGACAACGGCCAGCTGGGTCTTTACCCGGCCAATTACGTGGAGCCCATCTAAGCGTCCCAGCTGAGGATTGCTTGCCTCGCTGGAGTTGGAAACCCAGACTGAAGCGTCCGCTCATAACTGCACATTGCCAGAGACTTCAAAGCAAAGCTTTTCTCAGTGAGCTATCTTCATCCTCATCAAGGAGAACGCTGTTCAAAATCCCCCCCAGATACTTACAATGGAAACTAAATACCGTCCGCTCCGTGTGTGTTGCTGAGTTAAATCTCTTTCAGGATGCTAACCTGCCACACAGTGTGCTCTTTACTCCGAATGCTTTGGTGTCATCAGTTGTGCCAGGGCAGCGACAATGAGCCATGTTCTGTATTTCATGTACATATTTTAATCCCTTTTTTACAGCCTGGATGCTTGTACAGTTTGTTTCCTCGTTGAAAACAGTGTTTTTCTTCCATTGTATTTACTCCACATGTTTCGCCTGAAAGGAATTGTTGGATGTTTTTAGGAATATTTTTTCTTTCGTCTATTGAGTTGGATGGGAAGGTTTGAACCACTTCTCCTAATGTGAAGCGGTTCGTCCATATTCATCCGTCAAACAACTAACAGCACCTAGAGAAAAAAGACGCGACAAAGTTCCTTAAAGAACATTTATCACAATGAGCATATGCATCACCAGATCTATGGACTTCTTTGTTCACTAGTTTTCCAAACCCTCTGGGAAGTCCTCCATCTGAAAAGGTGACAGAGTCACTTTAGTCACCAAGTGACATATTCCAATAAGATGAACCAGACTGAACCACTTAGTTTTCTCTTTACTTTCCTCACCAGTTAACACCGTTAAATCTCCACAGTTTCATGATGTTCAGTTAATTTTTTTGTGTCATCTTGCTTACAGAATTAGTTTGATCCCAGCAGAAGAAATTAAACAAAATAATTCTTCAAACCTAATTAACATTTGAGCACAAAATGCTCTCCGAAGCCTTACTGTGATGCTTGACCAAAAGTTTGGAGTCTAACTTCCCATCTAATGATATGACAGGACAAGAAAAGCATACTCTCCCAAATAGTGCAACTACTTCCTGCTCTGCGCCACAACATGTTTCTGTATTAGCATTTTTTAAACAAGATAAAAGACAGCTCATCCTCGGTTAAAAAGAACAAAAAAAGGAAAACACAGTCGCTATTATCACAGCTGTCTTTGAAATGGAAATATCTGCACTCTACCAAACAGTGCGAGGATTTTTCCCTTGACGTCTGCTACAACGTGCCCGTTATATCCATCTGCCTCCGTTTTTTTTGCCTCCTCTGCTCGTGTCGGTGAGACTGAAGCCACAAGCGAAACCTGCCTGGAAATATTAACTTGCAACTCTTTCGTATGAAGATCAGCGTAATTTAAAATCCAGATTTTTTTTTATGTTTTTTTTAAATCTCTGCAGTTTATGAGACTTGTTTCCTCTGGGTGAATGCCCCTGACTCTCAGCTCTAATCTCTGTGATTATGTGCATGCTGATGCTCCCACACTCTGTTTACTGAACTGATCCAGCGCATGGCCTTGATTTGTTCCCACCAATTATTGGCTGAATTTTAACTTGATTAAAACTCCTACTCTTATCAGGACGAATACAGGCTTTAATACGTTTAGTGTCTGTCTATTTAAGAGATAATTCCTCTGTAAGAAAATTTATTAAAGCTTTACTACTCAGAGACGCGTGTTGCAGTGAGGGGCGGGATTAGTTTGACTGCACATGCCCGTGAAGATTCCTCTTTGTGTTCTCTTACAAATGCCAGAGAAAAAGCTCCAGTTAAAAAAGCGGAAACAGGATACGTCTTTGCAATATTGATGAGATGATTGACGTTTGTCCCGCAAGAGCAAAATAATTCCCACAGAATCCAGGAGGGCAATGTCTCCTGGTGGGTCCACGCCTCTGTTTGTTGTCTTTGGATTTCTGTGTGGCTCCTGTTACCGCTTGATTTGGAGTGGTGAAATATGTATATATGGCCTTAAATACATGTCTTACTTGCCACTCAAGAGACTCTCGACCAATACCTTCAACTCAATGAAAGAGAGCTCACCTCCACAGAATCTGACCCCAGCTCAGCCAGATCAGTTTACACGGGGCGACATGCAGATCCTCTTCGAAGATCATATAATGTAAAAACAAACCACAAATATATCCGTTCTAAATGTGTCTTACTGTATTTTAAACAGGACCGGACTGTTTACATTAACTGTGAAGCTCCTCAAGGCCCAGAAAGTTATTTAAGAATGCTGAAACGCTCCTTTTTTGTCTGTCTGTTGCTCATGCTGCAATGTCGAGGAAATGTTTTTCGAAAAGAAGAGGGCTTCCTCTGTCCTTTTCTCTTTTTTTTTTTTAGCATAACGCTGTAAATTCCAAATTGTAGTGCCTGTTCATCTACATCAACAACAAATAAAAGATGTCATCAGAAAAAAGTGAGGACACAAAAGGGGGTGTTGAATATTCAAATTTGGTGTAAAATTTGAAGACAGTCATTAAAGGACCAAAGTAAGTGCACATTTTAAATTGGTAATTAAAAGAATTCAGAAAGTAGAAGCACCATACAGTCAAAATACAGGAAGAGTGAATATTGTATGGATAACATGAAACCTATTATTATTGTGTTTATTTTAGTGTTGAAGATACTTATTCCATGAATCATTGGAAACTAAACTATCTATCTACTAAATTTGCTTAGTTCTGTTTAACTGCTTTGCATTCATTATTTTTATTATTAAGAACATAACAGAAAAGCACTTTAGGTTCTGCAAACCGTTCAGGGTTAACAAAGTTAGAAATACATTGATCTGTTTTAATGATTAAAGTACTTTTGGTGTAAAAGGAGATGCTTCATTCAGAACTTTAATTAGGTAAGAGTACACATTTGTTTGAGCTAAATCTCTATGAAAGCTGCGGCAGCAAACAATGAGATTTATGCATAGACATGAACACAATTAGTTTTACTTTAACTCTATCATAAAGCACCAGTCAGGGTTTTAATGTACTCATAACTAAGAAACGCTTGTTAGGACCTGTAAGGACATTATTCAGAGCTGAATCCAGGATATTTGCTCTCTTCAATGTAAACTGGATGTGCAACAATCTTTGTGTTTAGTTCCCCTATAATTATTTATCAGATAGTAGTCACTAGCTACCGCTCTTCCAGACATGAAAAATATAATAGTGCAGGAGGTGGAACAGCCATAAAAAACAAAGGGAAAACTCGGCATGTACGAACAAGAAAGCACGTGTGAATGTATTGTGGGTTCAGTTTAGAATCCACATTAGAATACTCCATTTACTATTACTTTCTTTTACTGAGATATTTATCTCATTTGTTTGAACATATAAAATAAATACAAATCTAGTTTGATGAGAATGCTGTTTTGACATACTGTGCTCATCATGGTCTGGTCAGTACAGTCTAAATAAAAGTTTAGAACTCCCCTTTGATGTGACATTTTACAAGTAATAAGAAGCATAAAAAGGGAATAACTCAACTCAGTACAAAAAAAAATGCTAAAGCTAACACAGCTGTGTAGAGAGTTTCTGTGATTACCTGCATTCAAATAATACCTGTGACCGCCTCGGGGCTTGAGTTTGATGAAAATCTCCAGTTTAAAGTCAGTAACAGATACGACGAATGGAGGTCATCTGTGGTTTCGCTGTCCCCTTTATTATCGGGGTCGGCCACAATATTCCTGAAAAAGATGCTCTTAAAAAAAAAAGCTCAACTGGTCCCACCTTTACTCTAAATATCTACCTGTTTATCTATGCTTGGAAAAATGAAGCGAAAAAATGAAATGATCATACAAACAGCTGCCAGGGGAATTTTTGGCAATAAAGCTGCTGAAATGTATTGTCAAAGCATTGGATTCCATTTCAGACCTCGCATGACTCACAAGGAAATTATGCAATAAGAAGCACAGACTAAACTCCTATGAATATCTTTTATGAATTCTGTGGTGGATTTCTGTTTACCTTATGTTCTTCCTGTTCGCTGTTCAAACACACTGTGTAAATATTGTGTTTGCTGACAGGTCTAAGTATTAATTGCTACTGCATTTTCAGCAGAATTTGGCTCCTGGTTACTTTTTCAAACAAATCTTTGAAATTAATAAATTAAATTTGATCAAATTCCAAATCTAAAAATTAATGCTGTTAACATGTAAATGTTGCATGTGCACTTTTTTTGGATTTTAGTACGTTGATATATGAATTCTGGGGAGGGGCCACACCTGTGATAAAGTATCAAAAAGGTAATCACACCATTGGCTTTAAAATTAAAGTGATCACTGCGTGTTGTATCGCAATGGTTTTAAAATTCTATTTCTGACATAATAACTACTAAGGCTAACATTAGTTTCTCACAGAGCTGGAGTGCAGTTTTTCTTCTTGATCTATTAAAACTACATCTAATTCAGGACCTTTAGGGTACTGGATCCTGTCTCAGCAGCTATAGCGGTAGAAGCAGGATACCAGTCAGCAGTCCATCACAATGAGATGAACGAGGCAAACAGCCATGAAACCTCACAACAAGGATAAATTCGAATTTACCAATTAAACCTACATCAATATGCGCCAACTCAAAGGGAGCCTATGCATACACGAGGAGATCTCCTCTTAACAAAAGAGACAGAAGTGCTTTTTTTCTATTATCGAGAACTCGTTCTCAGCTCCCAACTGTAAAAGAAAACATTTAGAGACTGTTCACACACTTTAGCTCTATGAAAGCTGCGGCAGCAAACAATGAGATTTATGCATAGACATGAACACAATGGCACAGTGGCAAGATTTATTTTCAAATAACATCACAAATACACTCTTCAGAGGGGGGTTTATTGAGTATTAGATGAAGCTTTCATAGTGTGACCTCACTCAGGCAATCAATTTGACATCTCTGCATAAAAAGAGGAACCGAATAATATGGATAGAGAAATCCAAAGCAAAGAAAATATTCAAGAGAGCAAAGAACTCAGTGACTGAACTCTTCAAACAATTCTACTTAGTAGTACTATTTTTTAACCCCTTTCTCTTGGTGCAAATGGAGTTAATTTTATATTATTTTTATTCTATGCTCACAGCTCTTTGGGGCTGCAGATGAGAATTGTCAAAAAGACAGCCGGATTGGTGTGTGTGAAGACTGGCATTGATACACAAAGAGTCTGAGGTGGAACACCAAAGATTTGGTCAAAGACTGAGGTGTAATAAAGTAAATTGGAACTTGAATGCTGAGTGAAGCTGTATTGAGCGTAACATCAACAACAGTTGAGACCTGTCAACCTCAGAGTGGAACAACACTAAATATGACAAAGTCATTTAAATCAATCATTCAAGGAGCACATATTAGTACTGGGTTTGCAAAAACTTAATTTAATCACATACTGTATCTGCATTAATTGATTATTCATTTAACAGCATTTTTTTTATTCACTTTGAAGCACTTTGGGTCTCAGACACCATTAAGACTAATGCAAACATAGTTGAATACAAAGCTCCTTTGGAATCCATCTCTCCTTACCAAACTACACGTTAGAATAGAAAATACATTATTAGCTCAGACGCAGTGGGATTTCTGGATCTCTGCCCTGGATTATAATTTTTTTAATCAAACTGCTTAACGGTCATCGGTAACTCAAAGAGGAGACACAGTACACAGCGTGCCAGGTCCTGTGATTGAGTGAGTTCATCTTGGCTAAATTAAAAGACACATGAGGAGCCGCAGGTAAGGGAGACAGGCTGAAGCTTGTCTGGAGTTACACAATCGCATTATGCAAAAAAAAAAGAAAAAAAAAGAAAAAAGGCAGATTTATGCAAATGGAAAGGCAGTTTGTTGTCTTTCATCTGTTTGTCTGCATCTTTAGCAGGAAAAGGCCTCCACAGCTGAATAGTTTTGTCTCTTCATGACAACCTCGCACCACTCTTTCCAGCAGTAGTATCTCTTTCAGTGCACGTGTTCTATGTCAGGTTTCATTTTAGACTGAGGTGCTCAAGTGCATGGTGAGACCGTGTCTCATTCCAACTCTGCATGTTTCCGCCTCCTCTTAGCCTCATACGGGGTGAACAAACTGGTATACCAGTCTCTGAGACACATCAGGCTTGCGGATGATGCCCTTCTTGTAGTACTGACGAATGGAGCGGCTCAGCTTATCATAGTTCATAGCAGGTCGGTTCTTTCTGAGTCCCCACAGTCTGGCTACATGAGCTGAGTCTTCGATCTTGAAAATGCCTGCAGGGAATCACAATAGATTTAAACTACAAAAAAAGGCAATGATCGTATAGAGAGAAATATGGTGATTTGCTAACATGGATTTTAAGACATAGATCAGAGTCCAATTATTTTTTGTAATTTGAATCATAATTTTTAGATGTATAATATTTTTAATGTTTATGGCGTATTTTTTAAACACAACTGCATATATGCATAAGGACAAAAAAAGCCCAGACTCGAAACATTAGAAGTTCCATTCTGATTGAAAAGCAAATTCTGTTTCAGATGTGTTTTTTTTCTTCTTTTTAATGAATTTACTTTTGATAAAGAAAGCATAAAGACATTGTGCGAACATAAAAATCGCCCTGTGAATATATTTTACTTCAAATGGAAGAAACAAGGTTCCATTTCAAAAACCTCCTTGGTCACGTGGCGTATGATTCTTTTTAAGTTTTAAAATACAGATGTTGGAGGACTTATGCATTGCCCTTTCAGGTCGCTATGTAGGGCCACATTGTATTCAGTCATATGCCTTTTAACTCTGAATATTGCTACATTTAGCTTTTTGCAAAACAGGGACGTATTAATCAAAGATGGCAAAATTACATATCACACATTTTAACATTTTCCAAAGTTTGAAATGGACCGAGAGTCGCTATTAAGGCTGGGCCACATGCTTGAACCTTGTATAAACAATGAACAATAAGCCCATTTAGAGTACATTTGTTGCGTGAATCTTATTTGAACATCTATATATGTAATTATCTACAACCCCTGCTGTTCTCTTTATATATCATGGGTTGTTGATGGCTTTATCTCACTCTAAATGATGTTTAGTAGTTTGCGTTAATGTTTGTCTCTTAGGCGTTTGTATATTTGATTTCCTAGTACATTTTCTCAGCTGAGTTTCTGTTTGCTTCTCAAACACCTAGATTAATTTGGTGATTACCACATCATACTCTTTTTCTCCATTGACGTAGTTACGACGTAGTCTTAAGTCAGATACTGACAAAATACATTGTTTGATTTCCCGGTTGAACTTGTTCCTGGCATGGTTTTCTTTTAACTTTAGATTTATGTTTCTGGTTTGGTTATTACTTTATCCTGCCTGGGTTTGTCTTCATTTAGGTCCTCACCACAACAGGAAGTCCAAAAATGTGGACTAAACTAATATTTGAAATGATTGAAAGTCAATAATTGATCGATTCATTCAAATCTTACATATAATGCAAAGATAGAACAAACAAAATACCTTCTTTAAAGACTAATTGCCCTGTTGGAGGGGCAGCACTGGCCATAAACATGCATGTTAGGTTAATTGGAGACTGCGAGTGGTTATCTGTCTCCTCAGTCTCTGTTTGACACTGTGATGGACTGGCAACCTGTCCAGGGTGTACCCTTCCCCCCGCCCATTGTCAGATGGGATAGTCTCCAGCCCCCTGTGACCCCCCGTGGAATAACCAGAATAGATAATGGATGGATGTCCTGTTGGATACCTTTTTCTTTATTGAGCCAGCGGATGCATCGTCCGTAGTTGTGAGGTTTCAACAGGAGCTCTCTGAGGAACTGCCACAGATGAATAGGTTGACCCGAGCATGAGGAATCTGCCTCGGACCACAGATCCTCGCTACCTACGCATCAAAACACAGGGAATGCGCTTTTTGAAGAAAGCATGTCATGGTTCATCGATATTAAGTTGCCCCTGGGGACCAAAATATAGCAGAACTCTTCAATCCGTAAAGAATATCTACTTTTAAACATTATTCTGTGAGTGTACCGACAACTTTCTCCCGGCTGGTTGATCGTTTTTAAAACATAAGAATGCGACAATATTGATCTTACCTGTAGCTTTGAGGTCTCCAACTGAGCACCGCTCTTTCATCCAGGCAGCTGGCGATTAAAGAACAGCAGACAACTACATCAATTACAGGAAATTGCATTTTCTCCAAACAAATAAATGCTGGTTGCTTTCAATTTAACACAACACACATAAACAAAAGTGTATGTGGTTTTAGTTAGCCAAACATCAGATAGTAAAATCATCATTGGAGGTGGAGTCGGTTATGCCGAGCTGGTTAAATAAACATGACTCACTCACCTGACTTCCATATGTCCAGGTGTGCGTGCAGGGTGTCTCCACACTGTGGGGAGCGCTGGCGAAACTCTTCCTCGCTCATGGCACATAGATCCTTCCCCGTCAGCTCATGGAAGGCCTTTCCCGCATGAGGTAATCTGTACAGATGTTCGGTCCACAGCAACCACTTCTGGACGTTCCCTGTGTTCCACTCGATAGGATCTGGTCACAGATATAAGCAAAGAACGATTCAGTTATTCACTATATCAACCTACTGTGTCTAAGGGCTTTTTTAAACATTTTTATTGAGTCATATTTAGTTATCTGAAGTCGTTTTTTTTCCAGCTTTATACTGACCATAAGTTGTTACACATAATAAAGCCTCGGAAGGCAATCATACTTTTATGTCACTGAGGTTATAATCAGGAGAACAGATGACTAGGCATCACACCGGTTTATAACAGCGACAAGTTGTACAATGTTTGCTTTAGGAGCCAAAAAAGGCCTCGCCCTTGAATATGTGTACACGTCTGCTGGCAGGAGGGAACCATCACTGTCACAGTCCTGAAGTATTCATTCAAAAGGTCAGGATTAAACAGATCCTGGAGCAGGCAAATACAGCTTTGCGTCAAAGGATATGATTTAGGAGACCTGTCATCTAGCCTGGCTGTCGACAAAAATATATGTATGTATATTAGCAGTGAGATCCAGCGAGTTTAAAGGCCTCTGAAATAACGTCTGTGTATCTGCAAATAGTGAGTAACAGCTTTTTAGCCTGTCGGTTATTCGCATAAATCCTAAAGGAAATACCTCCTCAAAATGACAAAATGACTTACCTGGAGTGATGTTGAGCAGTTTGCAGGCCGTTTCAATATCCTTTAGCACTTCTCCCACGACCATGCTCTGCACCTGTTCCAGAGACCGTTCCTCCTCCTGCCCTTCCAACCCGGGGGAAAGTCCCTGCTCCTGGCTGTCAATAACGGGGCACTGCTCCGGTTCCTCCTGGATCTGCATGCGGTTCATGGGCACGGAGAGTGTTGGAGATGCCTCCGCCACCTTCACCACCCACGTGGCATCTTCGGTGAGGAGCATGTCGAAGCAGGAGAGATAAAGTCCCGGCACGCCACGCTCCAGGGCTTCCATGCTTGGTTTAGAGTCCCCCATGTCCCAGGATTCTCCGGAGATTCGGCTTCGCTCCAGAAGGGCAAAGGAGTCCTGTGTCATCCCTATCAGGGACCCATACTCCGACAGACTGCTCAGATGGTTTGACATCACTACCTGAGATCAAGAGAAGACACACGATATTTAGAGCATGTCGCAAAACATGAATTTTGAGCCAGTATTAACAAAGTTTTGCAAAATGTCCTTCATCAATTCTGAGTAAGATGGAGTTAAATAAACTGTTTTGTCACATAAGCACTTAGTAACATGAAAAAGTGTTACTAAGTCTTCAGATGACAAGGATTCATTATTACCTTCCTTTTTTTTTACCTTTCTTGCTGCTAAACCAGCCACAGTTTTGTGAGAAACTCCATCAGGGAGTCATATGAAGCTCTAAGGGAGAGCCTGTCCTGGCTCATGCTTTATAAGGAGCCCAGAGTCTAATGGAGACACTGGGGAAATGAGTTTCAAGCGAGTTAAAACACACACAGCGTAGACAGGCATGGGGCAAAATGGATTTGACTGAGTCTCTTATTTGTGGGTCACTGGCCCAGAATTGTCCATTTCTTGGGGGTGGGTGACTTGTATTGAGACATGAGGCCGCTTTGCCTCCTGCTTTGGCTTTCAAGGTGCCGTCTCTGCAGCCTTCTGTCTCCACTGTCAGCTGGAGATTTTAATCAAATAGAAGTTAGACAATCCAGAGAGAAACATGTACGAAATCTTCCCAGCACCACATATTTGAAAACAGCTATAACATCCACCAAATGAAGGTTTCATTTATGAGTGAGGTAACTTCATTTTCAAGGAGATTGCCATTACAAAAAACGCTTTTAAGGATGTAAGCAGCAAGGGTAATCCTGGATATGGCACCATTAATGTGTACTTGCCACAGCTGGCACATGGGAAGACACACTGCTGCCACACACCTTGTTATCAGTGGTGAAGGAAGTTTGCTTGCACACAGCACATGTTCAAGGAAATGTGTGGCTTGATTTGACAAAGAGCCAAACAATTAAAGTCTCATAAAAATGTGCAATGTGATAGACAGCACCAGTCAGCTCAAGCTGCATGGGTAAGTCTGAAAAAAAATCATATTTGTTTCATAGCTATTTTTACGGAGGAAAAAGACTCCCCAGACGTGGAAATAGTGTAAATGTTGGAGTCATTTTGGACTGATTATGGCCCAGGCTCTTCAATTGTGTTTGGTCCAATGGGCGACTGTGGACGACTGGTGCAGATGGTGAGAAATTAAATTAGCTTTTTTTAAATCATGGGCGCATTCATTGTAAAGGCAGTGATGAGAAACTACATGTTTCCATCTTCAAACTTCTCAAGAATTGAATGAATCCCCAAAACATCATTTGCCTCGGACCCCCACTGAAAAAACCTCCGCCCCGCTCTTCCTTTTATCTCCAAACTTCTCGTAAACGACAACCCGTCTTCCTTTTCACTCCGTCAGGAGTCAGATTAAAAGCCACTGGTATCCCAGCCTGCTGCTGTGTGTCAACTCTGCCCTGTAACAGCTTGCGTTAAACCCATTAGCAAAGCAAATTTAGCCATATTACCTTCTTCCAAAAGGAAGAGGGGACACAAGAAAAAAGACACCAACTCACACCCCCAGGGAGAGAGGGATTAAGACCCTGACTGATCTCTAAATGAGTTTGGTCAAGATGCTTATATTCATTTCAGGAGCATTAGAGCTTGCTCCATTTACTGACACCACTATGCAGGACTCTGCCCTGGGAAGCTCATTTTTCTCCACAGTTTTGATCTTTTCACATGAGACATGTAATTATTTCTCATCTTCTTTTTTCAAATATACTAAAACAAAGATTAAAGGAACTGAAAAATAAATCTATATGATCAATGGAAAAAAAAACAAAAGCCTTCCTTAAAGGGCTTTTGATAAGCCAGCAAACACTGCTTCCTTATGTCTAAGCCTCGTTCCTAAAGGAAAGACAAGTACAATTAATAAAGTTTAAAATTAACTTCAGATCTTATCAATCATTTTTGCTAAAGAGTTATGTGAGAAAACGTCAGCTAGGAGTTTGTGGGAATTGTAGTTAATGAGTAGTGATAATTAGAACCAAATATCCATCATTGTTTAACTGGGATGCTGCTATTTGAGGTGAAAATGAAAAGGACATGAAACAGATTTGAAACCGTCCATTTAAGGGTGACCAAAATATTGGCACAGTGCTCTGCTGGTGTTGTTTGAGCCCGGAGTTAAGGGGGTGTGAACAGCCAGGCGTGACTATTTGCTATGTGAGCCTTAAAGGGAGATCACTTTTTTAGTTGTTATTGTTTCTCATGGGAAACTTGGACCAACCAAGGAAGTGAAATTGTTCAGAGAACAAGGATAAAGGAAATAGTTTCATCTTTGTGTGAGGTGTCTTCTCCCAACTGTTATTTGGAAGGAAAGAATTCTGGTTGGATGAAGTGATCTACATCTGTGGATTGGTGCCTTAGGCTATTTCTTCATGGTAACTGTGTGAAAGGCAGCTGCTCTGTTCCCATCATAAATGAATGTTGAAGGGATCAGTTTGAAGGTATTTGTGTGATGACAGCAGAGAGACGTGGATTCTATTACAGATCACAAATCCACCAATATCATGTGTTTATTTATTCTTACTTTTACGTTTTATTGCATGCTGGCTTTCCTATCTAGCGTGGGTTATATCAACTGCCAATGTGAGATGATAATGATATGGTGATTTCTTCCTGCTGTTAAAAACCCTGGCATTTAGCCAATAACCTTTTGAAAATTAACCAGTGGCTATGCTTTCCTGTTGGACTTATTTAATTTGAAAATACATAGTACCACCAAACAACTGGACATCATAACTGAATTTGAAAGAGCGAGAACAGAAGTCAACAGAGCAGTTTTATGATAAGGTCTAAATAACTTTAAATTGTTTGGATTTTCCCTTTCTCCAGATGCACAGATGCAGAATTAGTATCAGTTTGCCAGAACAATAACCTGCAAAGTTTCCATGTGTTCATTATCCATCCACAAACTTGCCATTTCTTTCCCACTTGTGATTTTATTGTCTTCTATAACATGTCTTCCAATCAAAAAAACTACTCATCCATTGCCAAAACCAATTATTACTAGTAAGATAGTGAAGGGCCCAAGCCTCTCCCAGCTTACACAGGAACCACCCTGGACAAGTCACCAGTCCATGACTGGGCTACACAGAGACAAACAACCACACAAATAGTCACTTCTGTGGACAAATCACAAATGAACCAAACATGGATGTTTTTGGATGGTGGGAGGAAGCTGGAGTCTGCAGACGGAGAGTGATTTAAACCGGGAGCCCTCTTGCTCTGAGGCAACAATGCTAACCACCACACTATTTTGCAACCCTCAACGCAACTACAGATAGATTATTTTGATACCCATAAAACAACACAAAGGGAACTCCCATGAACTGCCCACCCTCCAGGTGTTTGGAAGGGAATGTAACTCATATCGGCATTTCCTCATTTCATCTAGCTTAAGGAAAGAGGCTATCCCTTTTTCTTGTGAAATCAGTAAGTCTATAATGAAGGGTTAAAAATTACTCAAGGGGGAGTGTATCACCTCCAACATAAAATGAAAGTATAAGGACATGTATGTGGTGCAATCACAAGGACAAATGAGAAGCTGTGATTAAAAAGGAACGACGATAGTCTAATGCACTTGTTACAGTTAATCTGAAACTTGGAATGATGGAATACAAAAACCCAACAGCCGAAATAGAAGGAGAAAAACAGAACAAACGCTCCAGTTTGTCGGGATATAAAAGAAAAAAGGACAAAAAAAATCATCCCTCAGAGGTAGGATTACCATCCTCAGCAAAAGGGTTTCAACGCCAAAGACAAACATGGATTACTATGACCGTGCATAACAAGCATACACCAACAGTGTGCATGTGTATCTACCATAACTGCTGAATTGGTTAGACCTTACTCTGTCCTCAGGTTTAAACGTCCTCATAAGCAAACAACATGTGACATGTCCATCTTGTTTCAACACTAAGTCTTCCAGTGCTTGGCAGTAAGGGAGGGGGGCATGCATTGACTTAGATCTGTGGCAGGAATTTATTCAAATTTTCAGTGAAACCTTAAGTAAAACTTGACATGAATAAACCCATGTTTCACTGGAGATAAAATGATTTATGCCTCCTTATGCTTTGTATAGAGTAGTATTTAGATAAAAGCAAGTGAAACCTAACAATGTCTTTTCAATGTTCTAACCAAACCATGACATTATCTATACTCTTTGCTTAATGCATTTATGCGTTTCTGTTGAACCTCTTCCTTTTAGCTCAACTGACACTGGGGATAAATGCACTCTGCCTCTCGTCAGCTGTGAGATTATAGACTGAAAAAAGTGATTTCAGATTCAAAAGATACATTAGTTTTGAACTGTTTGAGTAGATCGTTATAATAAATTCCCCTTTTGTGTATTTTTCCTTTTATTTGTTTGGATGGTATCCTCCCCTGGAAGAGTTTCAAAGAGACACCTCTGCAAAAAGTTTTAAGAAGAGTATTTAATTTCCCTGTAATTCCGCCTGTGGTATTAGAGATCTGTCACTAATGTGAGAACTCATCATCCTGGTGAAAAAGAAAAGGGAGGAGAACTGTGGCTGCTGACTCAACTTTTGTGCTTCTGCCATATCACAACGCAGGAGAGGCTCTGCAGGTTGATGCACCCAAAATATAGGGAAGTAATATCCTTAGCTAATTCAGATTCTGCGAAAACTTAAGTTGCCAGGATCTTTTGAGAAATGATCACCAAGAAGTAAGTTTAAGACCATTGTTGCCTGGCTATATCTGGTTTTGTTTGGCCGAAAACAGCTTGGTTGAAAAGAGAGCAGTTGAAACTCATGAAACTTAGAAATGGACTGAAAAGGGAATTCAGAGTTTGACTGTGAAAGATATCCGTTATCAGGTTAGAATTCAGGGTCAACCTGAAAAGTGGTAAGAATAAAAATAAAGAGACGTATGAGCTCATCTTCTCATCCCCTTGTGAGGTGATGAAATACCTGGAAAATGCTTCCTAGTACATTCTCACCATGTGAAATGATAGGAGGCATGCACAGAGAAGCTCAAGATGCCCAAAGCCGTTC